TTATTAGAAACCACACAAAACGATTCTTCATGGTTCCCATTTTATTCGTTTTATACCCTTTCCATCCCAGCCAGAAGACATCCAATCACATAATCAACACATGACCCCGGTCATTCTGCCTCCCAAGCTTGCTTGCCTTATCTCCGTGGCTTTGGTCAGCATTCTAAACTGATTTCATTGACAAGCCTTTAACACCTTTTCCTTATCTAATGAGCATGGCACTGCATTTCAGATTTCAGCATCTTTTTCACCTTTAATGGAAGTTCTCAGTTGAAACTTTCTATGGTAAATGAATGGGGGAAAAAACCACTTTGGAAAACATCATACTAGAGCTTCAAAAACTTCATGGACATTTTGAAATCAAATATTGTGAAACATTTCCATGAACTTTTGGAATCCCTCTTATGTACCCTCTGCAAGTAATACTTAGGAATAAGGTTATCGGGAACTAGTCCAAAACCCTACCATTTTAACATTTCCGGTGTATACGATAGGACTGTGATCCCAGCAACCTCTTCAAGATCCACAATCTGATTGATTGCACTGCTGAATTCAAGTTGGCCGTCATTAAGTCAACAGAATTCTGGTGCTCAGAAGTGAAGTCACAACTGACTTCAAAGCAGCATCAGGGAATGCCACACAGACAGCAGGCTTCTGAAAAGGTTGGCATCCAGATTGTTTCTACAAAAGGCTTTCTGTTCAATCTGTCTTCCTAATTCTTCTGAACTCCACAATTACTTTTATTATTTTTTAAGAAAATTAAGAAAGAAGCAGTGCAAAGAACGCAGAGCCCCTATAGGCAAAACAACAAAAACAATGATAACTATAAATAAACAAATATCAAAAGCGCCTTTGGTTACATTTTCCTTGGATATAGAATATATAGGTAGCACAGAGAACATGATACACAGCTTGACAGTAATGCTGTTCATGCTACTTCCAAAAAAAAATCAAGAATCCAGCACATTCTAATGGGAAGAAAATGCTGAAGTGAACTCTTTTTGAGTGCTGCTCTGGCATGGCCCGCTGCTATTTGCCCCAGATTCATGGTGCTGCTTCCTGGTGCTGAAACCATCGCCCTAAGGATTTCAAAGTGTTCCCTCTAATCTCAGACTTGAAACTTGATTCCACTTGATGTCCTCATTGCCAACTATATGGGTGACTTGTGCAGTATAAAAATTCAGGACACCATGTTTGATTATTGCCTGCTTTGAGCCGGGAGAAAATGCAAGCTCCCAAGCAGAACACAGAAAAACTACTGTGATCTGTAGCTTCAACCCTGCAGTTGACAGCTAAAAGGCTGGGAGTTCGAACCCACCAGGCTTCTTGAGAAAAAGTGGTGGCAGCCAGCCTCATAAACACTCACAGGCTTGGAAACCCTATGCTGCAGTTTTCCTTGTCCCTTAGAATTGCTCTGAGTCGGAATTGCCTCAGAGCAGTGAGCTAGAACACTGCTCAATGGAAAGTGTCCTGGGTGGCCACATTGTTTAAAGCTTCACTCCCAGCTGAAAAGTTATGGGTTCAAACCCACCAAGAGACACTTTAGGCGACAGGCCTGAACATTTTCTTCTGAAGCTCACAGTTTTGAGAACCCGATGGAGGCCTCTTCTGTGCCACAGCACTCTCTTGAGAGGGATAAAACCAGGAGTAAGAATCAACTTGAGGGAAATAAACAACCACAGTAACGACTGCTCAAACCATGTTCCCGATTATAAAACACTGAACACTAAACTTTTTTCTGGTAATACATCACACTTTGTATACTCATTCCTTCTTTTTTGTTCACGGGGCCCTTTTTCCCCCTTTGTGCCTCCTTAACTCCACAATTGTGGTCTTTACAAGCCTGTGTAAGGTTTTCGGTTTTGTTTTAATGTATGTCTTTACAGATTTCTGAGCAATTTCAAAACACTCTCTTTGATAAAATAAGCTGTCTCATTTTTGAGCCATGCACAATGTCTCACCTTCTCAAATATTCCACTTGTCCAATGCATCAACCTTTTTCTTCTATCAATATTCCTATGCTGGATTTGAGCTAAAGCAAATTTGTACATTCCCCTGAATCTCTGTTTCGTACTATGTTCAGTGGTAGTTTTGAGTAAGGGATTTTAGAAATTGTTCTGAGCTTATATTGCAATATTAGGCTCATGAGCCAGCAGCTGTGACATGTTTTTCAGCAAGGAGCCCATATCTGACTTCTCTGGATACACCAGGGAGGAGAATCCAACTCCTCACCCATCCAAGGCCTATTGCCTATTGCCTCCCCCACCACCCTTCTTCACCATATTCTGTTGTAATGGCCAAAAAGGACGCACAGAACATACACACAGGTAAGGGGGGGGTTATAAGGGAAGTTAGCAGGTTACCACAAGTCAGATTCAGTCAACCGTAATGATGCAGTCAGTGGTCCACAGCAACATTCTCCTCCAGGGCTAAACCTCTCCTCTGTCTTCCTTTTCTTAACCCATGGTGTGCTGGCCTCTGCTCTGTTCTGCCCCACAGTCTCACTGTCTCAAAACCGCTGCCCTTTTTATCCTATGGTCTCCTGGCCTCTGCTCTGGTCTCAATGTGACTCTTTGCTGTGTCCCATGGTCTCCCAGCCACAGTCTCTGGTAACCTCTGGTCTCACCTTCCATCACTTCAGACAGAGATCTCAAACCTATCCCAATGCTGGTTCTTCCTCCCTGGTAGTCCTGGGATTTCTTTCTTGTTTCTGCTGCTGAGATGGCTCATGTTTATAGGCAGAGGAGTGGCAACAAAAAATTACAATCCTGTCTATTAGTATCTCACATACCAGTCCCTTCACTCAATCATTTGGCAGGAGTTACAGAGATATAGGCAGAAGAACAATGTTAAGAAATGTCATATCACCCTCATATACAGTTTGGAACACTATAATCTACACTCCAAATCTGGCCCATTGTCTGTTTGTACAGCCCATGACCTACAATGACATCGCATTTTTCAATTCTTGTGAAAAATCAAAAGAAAGATGTTTCATGATATAAATATAATGTATATGATTGCAAATTTACAGTGACAGTATAAAAAGTCTTACTAGGAAACAGCTGCCATCATTCATTTAGTATGTACTTTCTAAGGCTGCTTCATACAACCTCAAGAGTTGAATTGTGGTGAAAGAAATCATACAGGCTCAGAGAGTAACACATGTTTTACTCCCTGTCACTTTTCAGAAATAGTGTAATGACCCTATATTTTGTATTAAATTGTTTCCCAATAAAACATGTGTTAGACTATGAACCCCTCCACCCGTGTATATAATCCCCATTAACAATGTGGTTTTCATTGTTATGTCAATGAGGTTACATTCGTGTAGGCTGTATTTTAAGATATAAAAAAGATTAGACACAGAAGGAAGCACAGAACGGAGGTAAGGTAAATGTCAACTAGAAATCACCTAAGGACCAAAGATGCAGTGGTTACTTAAACAAGACAAAGGTTTCCTCTAGAGAGGAGAGAGAGGGAGAGAGAGAGAGAGAGCCTTCCCCTAGAGCTAGGGTCCTTAATTCAACTTTCTAGACTCTTAAACAGAGAAAATAAAGGTTTTCTCATTAGACAACCACTTGTGTTCATTATGTTGTAGCCACATGAATAAATTAAAGCATTCTAAATATACAGTATTAAACAATGGCAGAGGTGGAAGGAATGAGAGAAAAGGAAGAATGTAATGGAGAGCCAGGGTTAGTGAGAGCGTAGGAAGACAAGCAAAAGCAGAGATTTGAGTGGTAACAAGGTCTGCTTCCTAATGTTCCTCAGTTTGTGAATATTGCGAATCTTAAATCCCATGAAACCTATCCATTGAACAACAAAACCATAAAGGTTAATTTGTTGATTGCCGTTGCAAGTGTCTAACAACTACCCTCTTCTTTTGCCTGTCGTAGACTGAGGCTCCGTGGGATAAAAATTATCTCAGCTGGTTAGTAGCTCTGGTTCGCGATGTCAGGTTGCCCCAGATTCATGGAAGCTCCATGTGAACAGAATGAGTCGCTCTGATTGACTACAGATGAAACGGTTTGAGTCACAGGGTTTTACTTGGCTGGTTTTCAGAAGTAGCTTCCCAGGACATTTCCTGCTTCTCTGTCATACTTGGAAGCTTCTTGAACTCTTTTAATCTCATAGCAAACCTCAAGCTCCACTAAAATATGGGGAGTGGCTTCACTTGATGTTCAGGGGCCTGAAATTGAGTCTTAGTTCCAGTATGGAAGGTGAGAAATCCACTTTTGAATCAGCAAAGCCTCCTTTAAATACTGGTTCATCACTAAATAAGCACATGCTTAATGAACAAATGCAAAGACAAATACATACTCAATAAATGAAGTAAGAGCAGATGGGGCTAAACAGATGAGGCTTCCTGTTTCTGAAGTCCCATTCTCTCGAATCTGTGTGATTGATGACAGGCTCTTGAAGATCATTCCAAATCATCCACAGTCTCTCAAACAAACAAATAGTGAACAAACAGAGACATCAATACATGTTTTGCCTTTTGTTTGACAACCTGAAACATATTCCTGGCAATAGCATCACCATAATGAGTTTTGGTAACAGTCTGGTTCTTACCATGCCTTTTTGTGAAGTGTGTAAGTCTGGCTCCTGCTGCGTTCTACATAGAGTCTAAGCCATCACACTCTCTACCCAACTACCTTTCTCCTTTATTAAACTCTTTATGACTCTGCAGGGGAAATCATAAATTGCCTGTACAAGGAAGAATCTACACACAGCATGCATTCTTTTTTTTTTTTTTTTTTGAGAATATATGAAGTTTTTTATATGTTGATAAAAGACCATAAAACCCTTCTACATCAGGACCCAGCATTCCCTTCTAGACCTTCCCAACCTCAGCTGGAAAAAAAAATCCATTCTCCCCCCACCCGCAATTATTAGCAAAGACATAAAAGAGAGCTTCCAGAAGGAATAGAGGCTTGGCTCGATTCATCTCAGCATCAGTGCAACCTTTCAGCTCTCTAGACGAGTTGAACTCCCGGCTAGCTGGAGGGGGCAGGCACAGCTACTTCCTCCATCGCAGCTTTCAATAATGCTACCATCAACCACTCCTTCATTTCTTTTAGACTTGCCCGGAACCGATGCATGGCCGTTTCAAGTCGAGGGCGCTTATCTGCAAACACAAGCCGGAACCAGCCTGGTTCTTTGCACATGAAGGACTGGCCAGGGGACAGCAATACCTTGTTTCTTACAAAGTGGTGATGGAGAATTTGTTCTTTTTCAAATGTACACTGGTGCAGGTACTTTTTCAAGTTGATCCAGACATAGAGACCAGAGCAACGGTTGAGAAAGGGGACGTGCAAGGCCTTCAGCTCTTCTGTGACAAACTTGTGAGCGTCCAGGAGACGCGAGCAATTAGTCGGATGGTACACGTTGTCAATCCACTCTCTGTTATGGAGTAGCCTGTACAGTTTGTACTGGGTGAGGCCCGACAGGCTGTGGAGGTAGTTCAAGGATCCCACAGCAGCGACCACTTCCTTGTTGTGGGAGTAGAGCAAGCCAAAGCGGAAGCCATAGATGCTAAAATCCTTACTGGTACCCCAGATCACATGAGTCCTGCTGGGATCAGGCAAACTGCTCAAGCTCAGGACACTGTGGAATGTGGTGGCATCATCGAACACAGAGAGCATGTATATCTCATCTATAATCACATGTAGGTTGTGCTTCTTGGCAAATTCCAGGTACGTCTTCAGTGAGTCTTGGGAGTAGATGTCACCCAGAGGATTCTGGGGATTGGTTAGCACAAGACCTCTGACCTTTTCCCCCTTCAGCTTGGCATCCTGCAGGGCTTGCTCCAACTTGGCCACGGTCAGCTGGAAGGGTTCCGTGTTCTCACGAGTGATCTGACTGTCTAGGGGGACGGCTACCAGTTCAATCTGTGAGTACACATGGGAGCTGAAGGCAAAGCCACTGTAGAAGGGCGTAGGGATCCGAAAGGCCTCCCCAACATCACACAGAACCATGGCCAGTGCAGAGAAGATAGGGGAGCAGCCGTTTAGAACCAAGACATTTTCTGGATCGAGGGGAGTAGGTGCCTTGCAGTAGTGGGTCAGAAACTGGGCCACCACCTTCCTTAGGAATGGCTGTCCTTTCCTGTCAGGGTATCCCAGTAGGCCTTCATCAAGGTAGTTCATATCATCATCACTCAACCTCTGAGACATCAGGTCAAAGCAGAGCTTGTTCTCACTGGTCATAAGGTTAATGAACCCCAACTGGTTCTCTTTTTCGTGGTATTTATCTGCGTGTAGGCATTATAGTCTATGAAGCCGGAGTGGTATAAGTTGGAGATCTCTTTCCCACGCTGGGAGAGGAAATGGGTGATACCTGCCGCCGGGGCCGGCCCCACTGGGGAAAGTAACTGGTCAGGCTGCCTGGAAGATCAGGCGTCCTGCCCAGGAGCGCCAGCACCCTGAGTGTTCACAAAGGGCGGAAGCAACTGGGACTCCAGGTCCTTCCAGGACCCAGACTGCAGGATCTCGAGCAGCTGGTTTAGCAAGTAGATCACAATGCCCTTCTGCTCCGTGATGGTACGCACGCACATCTTCAGCTTCGAGCCCGCAACCTTCACGCCCGTGTCCCTGTGTCTGATCAACTGCAGGGTGCTGTCCTCGACGGTGCTCTGCCACTTGCGCAGCTCCTCCAGGATCTTCAACATCTCCAGCAGCTGGTGGATGCCGACCTGGACGCTGAAGTCTTGACCCCTCTCTCCAACGAGCCTGGGGAGGAAGTTGGTCCAGCTACTTAAACTCAGGAACTCGGTATCGTGGCCTTTGGCAGGCTGATCGTCCCCCCCTTGCTTGTCCGTACTCATCCTGTCTGAAGCCTACAACCCTTGATCTGCTCCTCAGTTCTCCTCCTCACTCCACAGGCTTCCAGCATGCATTCTTATAGTTGTAGATTTTTTATTTTAAGGTAGTACTGGTAACTCTTTATAAGAGAAAGGAATAAAGGGTGACAAAGAGTCAAATTATCTCCATTGGCAATTAAAGCTTTCAGTGTTTCAAAGAACTTCCCGTTCCCACTTGCCAAGGTGTGGAATTCTGTGGTACATATGAGCATTCATGTACTTTCAACTCAAAGAGCATAATGTTGCTGTTATAATTCTTTGCATGGTAATGCTAACCTATCTGAAACCAGCCAAACCTTGGAGGCATTGTAGAAAGCGTGTGGATGAAGACACCCTGAACTGAAATCTAAATGAACTCAAGATCAGGGCCACATGGGACCAGTGGCTACATTATCCACCAGTGCTCACTCTCGTGCAGCTTTGCACAAGTTTACAAGCATGAATTTTGGACCCCAAAAGACTGGCTGTGTTAGTCTGGATACCTTAGAGAAACAAATCCACAGAAACTCCTGTATAAGAGAGAGTTTTATATAAAGGTTAAGTGTGCATCAAGAAAACATCCCAACCCAGTGCTGCCCAAGCCCACAAGTCCAACATTAACCCATATATCCAACACCAATCCAGAAAGTCCTCCTCCATCTCACAAAGTAGACACAATGCCACCAACTGCAGAAGGAAAGCCAAGTCAGTGAATGTGTAAGCATCTCAGCACTGGGAGGGGTCTCCACATGGCTGCTCCAGCACCCAGGGCTGCATTGGGGTAGGTCCATGTGGCTTCTCCTCGGGGTTGTCTTGCAGGAAGTGAGCCTGCACTCTGGTCTGACCATCACAAAGCAAGAGACCTGAAAACTAGAAAGGAGAGGCTCACAGAGCCATTTATCCCTCCACCCTTCAATTAACTCATCATGTGCTTATTGGCCAGGTTGGCACAATAAACTAACTACCACACTGGCCTTTAAAGCCTGGCTTAGACTCTGTCATATAAACTGGGTGAAATTAAATAAACCTACTTATCCTTCAATGACTCACCTATAAAATGAATATGTTAATAATATAACTCAGAATTTGTGGAAAATGCAGATAAAGCAGTTTGGGGCATGCAGGAATTAATAGTTGATAGATATACAAGAGTTCAGATATTCTGAATTCTTCAAACAGTTTATCACAAATGGTTCTAAATGTATTATCACCTTGCATGATGCTTGTCAAATTATGATTGAGAAGTCATGATTCGTATTACTTTTCTATTAATGTGCATATGTTTTTAATGCTAAACCCAAGAAGCAAATGGAGAATGCTAGACCCAAGAAGCAAATAGAGAAATCTAATAAAATGGTAAAAATATAATGCTGTATATACTTTATATTTGCTAGACTATATGGTGCCATGGAGACTGAAGGGAAGTAGAGCATAGTAGGTCGTTTCGAATAGCATCAAATGGTTTCTCTGCATGAGTTCAGTGATAGAATGAATAGCTCGGGCCGCAACAAGACAGATCTGAGGTCACTGTATAATATTCAGTGTCACCAATGGATTGAATACGTATCCTCAAGAGGTAATGTGATCCTTAACAATAGAGGTGTTGACAGTCACTTGACCAGGCTATTGTAAAATGGATTCAATCAAATACCAGAGAGCTGATTGGACTCTTTGATCTGTATGTTCCATTTTGACCTGAAAGTTTGACATTGCTGTAGTAAATGCATCATTATAAAGCTGTTGCAAACTAATTATATAGCTCTATGTATCTCTCCATGGCTCTCTCAGAAAACCAAGCAGCAATAGTCAAAGATTGCATCAAGCGTGCGTGATGTATGGATTGTGGTAAGAGTTGTATGAGCCCCCAATAAAACGATTTTTTTTAAAGTAAGCATTAAAAAATCCAGTATTTAAATTCAATTCTCTTCTCAAACATATTGTTGGAATCCATGAGAATTTCTCTCATTTTCCAAAAGGAATATGTATAAAAGATTATCTTCTTTGTTGAACCTAAACTAGTCTATCATAAAATATTAAAAATCCACCTATCCAAGTTATGTTATTTTAATTCCTATTTTTACTGTAGTCACTGACCAATTTTTAACTCATCCAGTTGTCCTCACAGCACAAGGCTGTGCACCAGATATTTGAGGAAGGTTTTTGTTAAAAAAAAAAATACTGTTTCTCCTAAGTGTTCCTTTTCTTTTAATGTTAGCTCACTACAAATATGACCTAAAACTCCACAGTTTAAACAAGGTAATGACTACCTTCTCTGTCTATATATTGCTTTTGTCTTTTGTTGTTCTTGTTTTAGATCGCTATAGCAGCATCAAGCAAAGCTCAGTCCTGTCTCACACATAGCAACACAACACAACAACACACACTCATACATGAAGGATGCAATTATCTAATCAAATAGGAGAATTACCTCAGTACTGATGTACCGTGAACATGAATTATGGCACATTTAGCAATTATTGTGCTGCCTCTTTATACTTATGCAAGAATCTTATGTGAGCACCTAGCCATGTTTAGGGATAGAGACTTCTCTCAAATGCATTCATGCTTCTGCAAAATAGGCAATTTGACCTTTAGAGACTTCATGTTTTTCTGGTAGATTCATCACCATCTAATGTTAATGCGTTTTAATAGTTATTTGATCTAACTGGAATCTTGTCTACTAATGGTTTGCATGCCACATTCATTTCTATCCTGTTACAGTTAGCTTAAAGTACATGTCCTTGGAAAATTCTTTATTTTCACATAATACATATGCTGCTGATGCTCAGGCAGCACGCTGCATATATATTTCATCTTTTCACTTATATAAAAGATTATTTTCCATGATGACCCTAACATAGTCCATTATAATATCTTAAAACTCCACCCATACAAGTTATAGCATTTTTATTCTTATTATTTTTACTATGGATGAATTTGTTATTAAACTTTTCTTCGTTGAGTAAAGGAAAATATACTTTTAAATATATAATCTACTTCACAACACATGTTGTGTAATTTATCTAGAAGCTCAAAGTCAATTCCATCGGTGGCTATGCTTTTTTTTTTCCTTCTACATTAGCGGTTAGGGTGAAGGTTCACACAGCACAACATACATACAGCTGCCTTTCTCTCTGTCAGAGCCACTTACTTTCCTGCAGTAGTTCTGTCCCTTCTGCTCTTTTCTCCTCACATACCAGCTGTCTCCTCTGCTTCATCTTACCTTCTTTCAACATCGTAAGCTCTTCTGACTAGACTTAAAGATCATGGAAGTCATAAAATCTGGTTTGAAACCTTAGCTGATAACCCTCTTCTTTGAAGGGCCCCATAAGTAAAAGGTTTTGGAAACCTTTAGTGGAGAAATCATTGAAAAACAACCTTTGTGGATCATTTCCAGTACAGGAAAGCAAACAAACCTTTCAGCTAAAGATCAAAGTTTAAGTCAATAATGCTTTCTGCCTATTAGAGGTAATTTTATTATGCAAAGAATGTTTGAGAATTGCTTGTCCTTATAACAGAAAGTAACGTTTTTAAGCATTAGCAAGCTGTTGTATTTCTGGTAAACAATAGTACCCTTACATTTTTAAATGTTTCTAGCTCTGAGTTAAAAATCGGTCTCCCTGGGACAAAAAGTAAGTAAACATAAAGAAAGTAAACCGTATGTGAAAAATTATGTGCATCAAGACTCATAATATATGTCATAGTGTCAAGTTTTATTTTTTTATTTTATGCTTTCTTTTTGAATGAACTGGATTTTTCTACGTTTTGTCTAGTTGTTGTTGAGTTATTTTTCATTTGTTTGTCTGATTCCTCTTTGTTATTTGAGTCTTCTTGGCTGACTGGACCCTGAGCCAGTTTACCCAGCTCTGCAAATGCCACTGGAGTCAACTTTAAACTATTCTTAAGCTAGGTATCTGAGCGCAGAAGCTATCCTGAACAACACTGTGATCGCTTTTGTGTCTGCTTGCCTATGCCAGGATTCTCAGAGATTTGGAACTTATCCCCTAGAAATGCCTGTGGCATGACTTAACACAATAGAAGCGCAGCCAATTAGTTGGACACCTTCATAATGGGATAAGATTAGAGCGGAATGCAGCGCATTCAATCAGATCACACCATGATCAATGAATCGCATTGGTGTGTGGACTGTTTCTAGTAAAAATAGATGGTTTGAGAAGATTTGTTCTGGTTTTGTTTTGTTTTTTGCCCACTCTGGATTCTGCATCTGACTCATCAACTTCTGGCTCCTTTTACTTGAGCCGACAGACTGCAATATTGCCTGTCAATTAAGATAATTGTTAGAGGTGTGTTATCTGACCTGCCAAATGTGGTAGTTACACAATTTCATGTCATCTTGAAGAAGCATAATAATGTAGGGTGGAGTCTAACTTGTCAATAAGGTCACAACCCGATGGTCCCTTCTTGTGGATGTGGCCATCTCCTAAGAAGAACCTTGGGAACCTCCCCTTCTCTGTCTACCTTCACCTTCCTGTTGCTGAGTCACTTGAGAGCTGTCAGAGCAACTGCCATTGAATCCACATGACTTTGCACCCAGGAAGGTCTGTGTTCTTCCTCCATTCTGCATCATTACAGTGGCTATATGAGTGTGAACAGGTACTCGTGGACTAACATCAAATTTATCGACTTGAGTTGGACTGGGCTGGGATGTTTTCCTGATATATAAATCTTCTTGATACAAACTTCTTTTTTACATATATGGGTGTCTCAAGATTTATTTCTCTAATCAATGCACCAAACTTGGACACATTTTCTTCTGCAGCCACAAACCTGAACTGCTCATCTGCTCACCTTGGATTACCTGCCGCTGCAGCCAGCAGCCTGTGTTCTGCCTTCTGATCTTGGGTTGTTTATTCCCCAAATCTATGCAAATCAAGTAAAGTCTCAAGCTTAATTTCTGATCCATGGATTTGGAACGTGAACGTCCCTGTTTCTACAACTTTTTGAGCTATTATTTATATATGTAT